TAATCCTTCCACCTAAGCGTTGCCAACTAGGATTCACTACAAAAGAACTAGACCTTTAGCGGCGACGACACTCGCCACAAAAGTCCAAAATATCGTCACTAAAGTTTTTTTAACATTAAATTCTGATTTTGTGTTTTTTTTCTTCGTTGTTTCTAAAAAACCAAAAATAAAATCGAGTAAAGAGGAGTTTGAAGACACTGCATGTTTTATTTTTATGTCATATGTAAATGTATAAAATGTACATTGATGCATTGTGTAGTAGGAGATTTGAATTGAGAAGTAATTTGGATGTTTTTAATATTGATAGTGCAAGTTATTTATTTTAGAAAATTAGGTTGCAACCGAAAATTAATTATCATATTTTTTTGTTAAAAAAATAGGTTTTACTAGCGAATGGTTGTTGCAACATTAGTCGCCACGAAATCTCGAAATATTATCACTAAACGTTATGAGTGATTTTTCGTAGCGACTTTGTCGCCGCTAAAAGTAAAGTTCTTTTGTAGTGAATTCTAGTTGACAATGCTTTGGTGGAGGGATTAGTCCCATGTGGCTTGCCATATCACTAAAAATTTAGATAGTTAACTCTTGAGGGTATTTGTGATTTTTTGGGATAACCGCGGGGATGTTTTTTATCTCAAAATATAATGAAGGGCATAGGTGATCTATTTCACACTTTAGGGTTATTTTTTTATCCTTTTCCGTATAAAAATTAAGTACAAGGATGGTGCCCTTTAACTTAGCTACTTATATTTATATTTTTCAATTTTAATATATCATCCGTAGATATTTAAATATGTATAAAATTAAATAAACATACACATTTATTTTATACGACATAATCACATAATATATATAAAATGTATATATATTCACTTATTTAATTTTATACAAATTTAAAGTATTAATTTACGTAAATATATGCAAAGCATAAAAACAAAAGGCGAGTCCAGGTCCATCACGTGATGGTCCATAGGTGGACCACCAAGCCAAAATTAGTGATAGTGGAGGCCCACGGATGGTCCCCACGTGTCCATACTATTTTGTCCATTATCTAATTTTGGGTCCCACAAATAGCTCTTTTAACCCAAATGCTTTGTATCATTGCATAACGACAGCACAGATGGAAATTTCCCCATAAATGGATGGGACCCACTATTGTTGTGTAGCAGAATGAATCTTGTGCACTATTCATTGGTGGAGTTAAGATGAGTCATTTATCAAACTTCTGGATAAGGTCGACATCTGTCCCCTTCACTTCCTACTAATAAGTGCCGAGATTTTGTTATCTCGTCATACTTTGTACTCTCTCCATCTCATTTTATATGTCACATTTTTACTTTACATTTATATTAAAAAATGATGTAATTTTACTTTTCTATTCTTATTTAATTTTTTTGGAACTCAAGTTTTCAATCAATGAATATGAATTAATTTAACCAATGAACATAAATCATTTACTTAATTTTTTAAATTGGTCAAATGTATGTTTTCAATGCTAATAACTCACAAGGATAAAAAGGAACAATATGCTAATTTATGCATTGATTTTATAAAATGACAAGTATTATGGACCAACTATTTATAAAAAGAGATGACATATAAAATGGGATGGAGGGAGTACATTCTATCATTTCGAAATTCTCAATTCACGGAGTGTAATTTTATACATCTTCTTGGCTTGCGTGACCTCCAAATATCTGTTACGCGCTTATCTAAGTGGAGTCATGAAGTGTGTCATATAAATAAAAAAAATATAAAATTACAAAAAATTAAATTCATAAAATAATAAAATCTTATTCTAGTTAGGATGCGTTTCTGAAATTTCGATCATAATACTTATGGCTGATCCTTAAAAAGTAAGTAGGTTATTCTTTGAAATTGAGGAGTTTGGTGATTAATTTAGACTACAAAGAATATTAGAAGTAAAGGTAGACATGTGACAATACGGATTGGATAAGAATTTAGTCCCACTTTTGTATTAAGACTTGATCTTAAAAGATTTTTCATGTTTACACTTCAATAAATTAAGCAAGCTAGTTATATAGCTTGTTTAGCATAAGATAAAGTATTAGTATCACATATATATATATATATATATATATATTAAATGTGTTCGAATGTGATTCAAATATTAAAAGGATGGACGTCTAACATGAAAAAAAATAAAATTTGATGTGAAGTTTCAATATTTGAATTCAATATTTTTTAATCCAATCTGTATTAAATAAGTTTAGATTAAATTATTGATTAAGTCAATTTTGAGTTGATTATTTTGAATCTTTGATTTAAGCCTATATATTGAGTGTTTTTTTTAGCAAAGGATTAGGTGGGTTGATAGGGTAGTAAATGTTTGATTAATAGTCTATTGAACTTATTGGGCATTAATGTCTAACGGATATAGGAGTGGACATAAATATCGAAAAATTAAAAAATCAAATTAAACTAATTCGGTTCTTTGGTTTTGATTCTTTGATTTTTTGATTTTTCGATTTGGTGTCGATGTTATTTTTTCAAAAGTTCGGTTCTTCGGTTCGGTGCAACTTGTAAGGGTCTTAGAATTTAGGTGCACCGAAGAACCAAACTTTTATAAAAAAAAAATAATTGCATTCTCTTAACTAAATATGAAAAATCAACTAACAATTAAATCATTTATAAACAAATCAAAGTAACAACTAATGTACAATTCAATAGTTAACTTCAATTATTAATTCCCAAGAGAAATCTAAAGATATTTTTATCAATGTACATTACCCATCTTTATCCTTGTTTTTTTCGAAAAATAGTTGGAGGCACATTGTGATTAGAAGCAGTTAACTGCTCCTAATCATTATGCACTGGATAAAGTATCTTGACACTATGACCGGCCTTCTTGGCCATAGTGATTAACTGCTCCTAATCACTAAGATAAGAGTTCAAGTCCAGTAACATAAAAAAAAAAGTAATGATATTTATTATATTATCCATTATAAAGAAAAAGGTATAATTTTGTACCAACAATAATCATAAATTATCAATATGTTGGTGCATCAAATTCCAACGGATGAAATTTTAATTAGACACTTCAAAATTCACCTTTTTTACCTAAATTAATTATATTTAATTTAAAATTTATCATTCAGTATCTTTTTTCCAGGAAAATAAATTATTTTTGGAAGCTATAAACCAGGTCCAATTTGTATGGAGATAAGATTGAGCATTCTAATCGTACAATAGTCAGTAGCTTTCTTGAAGGGGACAAGTTAATTTTTACACATCAGTATTTTCTTATCTTCTTTTATTTACCAAAATAAGTATAAGTAATACTTCCTCCGTCCACTTTTAATTGTCATGATTTCTATTTTTAGATTCAAACTATAAAAACTTTGACTAATATTTTAAAATGTATTTTTTCATCATATTGATATGCAAAAAATTGCAATTTATAGTACTTTTCATATAGTTTTTGAATATCTAAATTTTTTGCTTAAAATATCGAATTAATGTAATCTAATTTAACTTTGAAAATTAGTCAAATTGACTTTCGAAAAACGCAACATAACAAATAAAAGTGGACAGAGGGAGTAATTATAAATAAACGAGATGGTTTTCATCTCGCGAGAAAAAAAGACATATCGTAAAGCGAATATGTCCAAACCTCGATAACTTAGCCCATCAATCACCAGTAATATCATAAAACCACTATTTCTTCACAAGTTTCCTGTTTCTGGTTTTCCAAAACCACTCTTCCTTTTTTTGCCTATAAAAAGGGCCTTCTCTTCTTTCATTTCTCATTGCTCACAAGCACTTTGAAGCTTCCTTGAATCATCATCAGTATAACTAAATTCTTATTTTTAACTTTAACTTAAATTCAAGTTCAAAATTAATCAATCATGAGTTATCTTAACCGCGTTTGGGTAGCCACAACCGTCGCCGTCGTAAACAGCCACGCCGATCACGGCCAGAAATTGAAATCCGGCATCCAATCTCTAAACCACGGCAAAAAACGATTCTCCTCTTCTGTCGCTTCCGGCGCCGACGTTGCCGGTCTCCGGCCGATGTCCGGTATGTTAGGATCTGATGTCGGCGGGTTCATCGGAGGCGGAAAAGGCGAGGAGAAGAGGAAACAAACTGATGAGTCACTCCGACAAGTTATGTACCTAAGCTGCTGGGGACCAAGCTAAGGTATGGTGGTAGATCGGAAGTCTCCCGTTCGATTTTAGGTGGCTAGAAGTCGCCGGCGACGGGAACGGGGAGTGAGTTGACCGAGTAGACTCGTATCGGAGGGCGAATGAACTGAAGTTAACTCGGCCGATCCCGTTTGGCACTGATTGCAGTTTTAAGACTCAGAACTACGACCACTAATTGTAAATTTTGTGTATATCCTAGTTGAACTATTGTAAAGTTAACTACTTTTGAGCCTTTTGTCTCGCATCATAATGGAAAAGGGAAATAAAAATGTTTACCAAACAATATTTTCTTCTTTTGCTTGGAAGATTGGTACGGAAGGAGGTTTACTTTGATAATAGATGGTTCATAAATTATCAAGTTAATACCAGAATAATTAAATTTATGTCAAATTTTTATTAATAATTAGTAGATTTCTTATTAAAGCTATTAAAATAGACCGTCTAGATCTATGGCGATCGATCGGAGCAGGACTTGAATAAATTTTCTGGTTAACTGGAAGCTCGAAATGAGGGTCAAAGAATTGATCCATTTCCTGTTCTTGGACTCAAGTACTACACATGGCAAGTCTGTGATCTTTTATTCTCTGCCAATAGTAATAATAATAATAAAAAAGTGCGATCGCTTCACTACTATAAATAAATAAAAATTTAAATAAAATAAAATGATATAGAAACATGAAGGGTGAGACGACGAAGGGCAGTTTTGAAAATATGTCTGTATTCAAGGGTAAGATAATAGTTGCATCTTAGTGGAATTATAGAAGGATGTGGACGTTTCATTTTCCATTCCTAATGAGACACTAGCAAAAGTCTTTTCTCTTTACCCAAAAAAAATAATCTTCTTTTCAAGTTTTATTTTTAGTAGTAATCCAAGGTATGATTTTTCTTTCAAAAATTCTGAAAGTTGTCTTCTTCATGTTAAAGTTGTTCTTCAAGACCGTATGAACATGTTCCTCTTCAAATTCATTTTTTTTTCTTTGAGTTTTTTCTGGATTCACACTGTAATAGTAACCAATATCCATAAAAATGCCTACATCAATTTGCTAAATTTTCTTAGGATCTTGGCTTCTTTTTCCCAATTACTTTGTAGTTTTATTCTCAAATATAATGAAGGGTGTGAATTTGATGAAAATATTTTGCGAAATAATAAATGAACACACATTTTCATAATCTTGGAGGTAAAATGTAGTTAGAGGCTTAGAGCAGAGGGATTATTTCGAGTTCCAGGGAAGGTGAGTAGGCAGGCTTGTTTCATATAAAAATCTCACCTGCACCAGTCAAATCTTATATAAGGGCCTCTTTCATCAAAATCCTTTTCTAAAAATCCTCATTACCCTTCAGCAAATTGGAGGTATGTTTTTCTTTCAAATATCTATATGTTTGTTTTCCTTAAAATCTTACAACATGTCTATATTTGGTGAATTTTCTCTGGTTTATCAGCATGCAAGTCTTCAATTTCCTCTTCTACTCCATTTATAAAAAATAAAAACAAAAAGATTTCTGTTTCGCACTGTATTATAAACGAATATCCATAAAAATTACCCAATTTTCTTTGTACCTAGATTTTTAATTTTCATTTCTTTTGGATCAATGTTTATTCTTTTTACTTTTTTAAAAAATAGTTTGTTACCAAGTATCAATGGAGTCTGTGCATTTGATGAAAATATTCATCAATAGTAATAAATACTAATTGCAAAATTGATATTGAGGATGAGAAGTGTAAGAGTTAAAAATAAATTAAAACGTTGTTAAGGGATACTCAGATCTAGAATAATCTTTTAAGGGTATAATTGTCAATTGGTACAATATTTAATTTAATGGTACTTATTCACAAATTTCTCTCCACGTGGAGAAATTTCAAATACAAATACAAAAATATATATATCTCTCGAGAAATTTCTACTTATGCTTGAAATAAACAATTAGGTTTCACCTACTCCCAAAAACTTCTTCTTCCGGCGGTTCATCTTCTGGTTTACCATATTGTTGATTCTAACTTCGTCTGTTCTTCAGGTTCTTTCAATTTCAGGTAACTTTTTTTTATTCTTGTCTTAAGCTTGTTTGATTTTCATTAAAAACTTGTGGAGATGTTGACATGGTATTATTGACAATAGTAGGATCTGGAACAAATTCTATGAGTTTTTCCGGTTTCCTTTATATTTTTTTTCTGTTCAACTGACTGATTAACATCATTCCATGGCTTAACAAAAAGTAGCGCTCATTATATGAATCTCATTATTTTAATCTATGTGTTTGTAATTACACACCTCACTTATTTAATATTGAAACATAGTTGTTATTGGTTTGTTTATGAACTTGAATCAACTGAGTATATATTTCGATAGCCTCTACTCGCTTATACTATTATAAAGACTTGGATAATTAGCTACTTTACTGATTGTGTTGTTGCACGAAAATACTTGAACAAGGGTGCTTGAAAGTATATGAAATTGATTCTATTTTTTAATCTATATTGAAATCTGTACTTGTATTTAAGATGAGCATTGTGTTTTGCGATATTTAAGTGCTACAACATTGATGAGTTGCAAATATATTTATTTTGTTCTCATGGTTATAGTTGGAAATAGTTCATCTTGATCTTTTGTTCAGTTGATCGTTTTGTATTCTTCTATTCAGCTTGTGTGTTTTTAGCTCTCTTTTGTTTAACAATGGTTGTTTGATTATTCCAGATTATGTTCGTATAACTCTTATGAAAAATGAAAAATAAATACTTCATCTTACAAGGAATTCTTCCTATTAAAATAAAACCTCACTTGTCATGTAAAAGATAATGGATCACTGTAACAGAAACTCCACGTTCTCGAATTAGTGAATGCACAACTCGGAATCATGACAGACACCCTAGACATTCTCATATTCTACAAGTTTACTGTAATATATAAACTACACCATTCAACCATAGTAATGGTTATGCAGAGTTAGTAAAATTAATAATACAATGTAGAAAGTCAACTTCTCCAGATTCTCCCTACTTTCAGGACTACAATAGAATTCTATAATGGTATTTAATATTTTAGTCCTTGTGATAGTAAATTGCTGAACTTTTTTTCAAATGTGATGTTCTGTTTCAAATTTAGACTCGGTTGAGATGTAGTTCAACAAAAAGCAAGAAAACCCAAAAATGTAATGCACAATTTATCTGTAGGACAGTTATGAAGCGGACTTAAGCTACCACTAACTTCTCTTTTGTCAATATGATTTCAAAAGAAGTTCTACTATGTAGAAAAAAATTGTGAAATTTGAAGACTTTTAAGTAGTGGAGTTGCGGTGTCCAGTTCCGGTGTCTTATAAGTTACTACCTCCACTCTTGATAAATAGTATTATTATCCATGGTTTCTGCTCCTTCACAGTGTCGCACAGATGCACAAACTCCGTAGTTTGATAATTTTTTAATGAAGAATTGTAGGGAGCAGGAAGCCTGCCAACCAATCACTGTTTTTTTTGTCCTAGCTGAGTTTTCCAACGACCAACATCAACATCACATGATCTTGTGGCATTCTTAATGCGGCACTTCACAGTATGGCAAAGAGAGAAGCTTATGATATTACTTAAGAGAAGGGGCGTAGCAGTTCTTCTTTCAAGCTCAAAATAGGCCGTCTATTGCTATATCTCCTTCCTGATCCCCCCGGAATCACGAAGGGAGTGAGAAGATATTCCAATGGACACCCTTTCGAGAAAAAGGTATTTTTGCCTTAAAATGTAGTTGCGAGAGTTAGAGGTGGAACCCATTGGACAATCATATGTCTGCTATTGTAGTTGTTATCCGATCTACATGTTCAGTTAGTGCTACCACTAATACGAACTATAATGCAGTTCTTGGCAATTATAATTCTCTAACTTTTACACTTAGACTCTGCAAGTATATAGCTTCTTTGGTCCAAACTACCACAATTATTTTTTGTATTGATCCACGATTGGATGTATGACCGTTAGGATCCTCTGGGAATTTACATCCAGTTTTGATAAAAATGAAACAGAAAGCTGTATTTTGTTAGAGAGAAAAAATAGGAAACTGTATCGAAGGATGGTTGTACAAACCAGATCAGATTGACTGTCTGGACAATTCTGAAATATATAAAATGAGAATAGTTTTGAGGCCCCAAAATGGTATAGACTTCGAAGGGCTGAACTTTCTCATCATTTAGGTCCTCTCTTTGTTGTTATATTTTGTACTTCGACTTACTTCATTTTTTTTTCCTTGTGGTATAGAAAGGTGCAAAAATTCCTTTAGTTGATATTGTATCCTATTATCACCAGAATATTAAGAGATCCATCTTCATTTGTGTACTCTTTCCTGAACAAAAATGCATCACAGGCTTAAGTTGTTAACTTAGAAGTTTAATGAATCAACCTTCGCTGATATGAGAAACTCAAATCATGCCATCATTAGTAATAGGACAATGTTTTTACCTTTATAGAATATTTGATGTCTTTTCTCCAGAGTAAACATTTGTCTCTTTGTCTTGGCTTCATTCACTTACATTAAGTAACAAGATTATTGACCAAAATTTTCAATTTTCTATCATTTGACATTGGCAGATATTGTTAAAACGTGATGACAATATAACATTCTACAGTTTTTTGTTAGGCCTTTCATTAAGAGAATAGTGTTACGGAGTACATTGCCCTTTTCCTCTGCTCAATCACTCCAATTCTTAATCACTACTGGAGTTTGATAGCGTGAGAATTGATATACTCTTAGCTCTCCTAATAATAGGATTTAATCATTTGTAATTTCAAAGCTTAAAATCCAAAAGTAAGTGTTTGCATTCAATTGTATTTTCTGCAATTGTAGTGCTGATATATTTTGGAATGACTTTTCATAGTGTCAAAAGTAACCACATTCAAATGACATGTTGGGTCCGTGTTAGCACGGGCCATACCTATCTAGTATATTATAACACTATTACATATTTATTCCGAAAGGTACAAATTCCGGGTCAGTAATTTTATTCAGCCCAATAACTCTTCATCCGATATAACTGGGCTAATGATTTTGTTTAGCCCAACAACTTTTCTCCGTAAGTCAGGCAGTCCGATTAGGAACAAACCTCAAACCGGTGAAGTCTCTCTTTTTTTATTTCTATATGAATTTTGCAGTTTTGAATTATGTTAATTAGATAGATTTACAAATAACACATGAATTAGGGATAATTGTTACGCAAACCTGTTTGGATTGTGATGTGTGTATCCCTTTATATATTGACCTAGTTTTGTGATTTGATACAGAAAGCTATTCAATCTCTTAGATTACTCAATTCCAAGTTATCTTGAAAATCCAACAGCATGCCACTGTTTGAAATAAGTAAGTTTTTTTTTATGTTTGTAAAGTTTATTCTTTAATTACTTATGATGTGATGTTGCTGATTACGAACTAGTACAATTTTATCCGTTTTTTACTTCTATGATATTGCCGTTAAACCTAGCACCAAATATAGATTGGTGAAAAGAAATTACCCTTCGGTGACCTAGTGGTTTGGGCTTGAGACGTTGTAGGTCTCAAGTTTGAAACTCCTTGTCAACTAAAGCAAGAAATTTGTCTCCTGGGCCGAGCTCGTCGCACAAGCTTGCCTAGTGTGGATTACCTCTCTTGTGTAGTTTGCGAGCTATTGCTTTAAAGCGGGCTTTTACCTGTGCGCACCAATTCTGTCAAGGGTTGTCAAAATTTAACATTAGTTATATCATTGGCACATATCCTCCAAGGTGTTTGTGATTTATGCTCCATAGACTCTCTAAAGGGGAGTGAACAAACCTCTTGCTTTTGCCATTCCCCTTGGGTAAAATTTATGGTTATCCTTTTTTGATTGATTCAGGGCGCTGCCCCCCTTTCTTAGAATTAGAACCCATTGAGGGGCCTCAACCCGGAGTTGGTTATCCAATGATGATTAAAAGTGGATCAACCCATATCATAGAATATATCAATTTCTGCACTTATGTTATTCTTATTTGACTCGTGTTTTGATGATTATGGCAGTATATCACCTTGGTGTTACTGAGTGAGGCAACTAGCAAGGCCTATAGCTTGTGCCATGAGAAAAGGTGTCAACATGCATCCCAGCCTCCAACGAACCCTTGCTCAAACAGCTAAGGTATCACTCCAAAAAATCACAATCTCCTGTTTGCAAAGGTAGTACTACCACCCCACAAATCAACTACTAACACTTTTTTTAATAACTCAGACTCACAAAACAGAGGAAAAGGAAGTCATAGAGACGGTTGCTCAGCATCTCGTTATCCATACGATAGCACTCAGTGCACTGGTCTACTATATTACATCAAATGATCAAGAAACTGAACGAAAGCAGAAGCAGTTGGATGAGCTGAAACAAGAAGGCAAGAACTGGACCAAAAGTTATTAGAGTACCAGAATAGGATACGACTTTTGTATGAATAAATCTCTCAGTATAGACTCTTCTCATTCTTCTCTTCTATTGCAATTGGGACCAAATTGATTTCTGGGTAGAATTTAAAGTTTCTTTTTTGGAAAATTCCTGTAACGCCTATTTAGTACTTTCTTTTTTGTTCCATTGAAATTGCATGTTTTAATATGGTAATTCTTTGTTAAATAGATTTACCAAATAAGTAACACCTTATTGTGTTAATTGTTAATCAACTTCCAATTTATGCACTCATCACTTGCCTTCAAGAGAGTGTGCACATTGAGAAATTGAACCTTTTCATTGTGTCTTTCTAAGGGGAAATACATTTCTATGAAGACAAATTGTGTCTTTCTCTCAATTCTCTTCTAAGATATTAGTACAATACTTCCCTAGACAGAGCTACAAGTTCGTCTACGGATCACTTAATATATGTAAATAATTTGTTTGAGATTCAGTTATAAGTTATCAAAAGAGTTACTTTTTTTAAGAGAGAGAGAGAGTGTTTGAATACACCTAACTAAACGTAAATTATTAGTTTCATCCTCGAACTATTAACATTAAAATTAATTCTTTACTTGACTAACTGAATTTAAATATACCTCCAATCTTGCAATATGAGCAAAATACACCCTTAAATTCTCGTCAAGTTTAGGAGTGTTTAACACTTCTCTCTACTTTTTATTAAGACTTGCATGTCATAGAAGAGTTTGAAACCACTTGCTATGTCGTGTGGCAGATCGATGATGTATCTAAGTTTAGTTAGTCAAGTAGATGAGTAATTTTAAAACTGTCAGACGAAACTAATAATTTATATCAAATTCAGGAATATTTTCGACACATCTTTCATTTTTTTTTATTTCTTACAATAGACTTCAGTAACTGATTAAATCTTGGACCTTAATTTCCTTGTAACATATGTCTACATCTAGTATACAAGAAAAGTCCATTTTGACGGAGAATCACATTATTATTCTAGTAATTTAAAACCACTGCTTTAATATGTGGAGCCTAGCAAGTTAGTAGTATATCAATATCAATCGACAATAATAATTCATAAATATGTCACTGTTAATGCAGCATTCCTCTTACTTTCCTTCTCTGTCTTTTTATTTTTGGTGTCTTCCTTCTCTTAAATTTTCGTCCAAGAAAGTAATATAATTTCTAATATGAGTCTCCCAATTAGAGTTCTTTTAAAAAAGTAACGTTCACATATCAAATTTTGCACTCAATATCATCGTACCATTATTGTGCACCTCTTGGACAAAAGAAAAGTCCATTAATAAGGAGCTTTACATGATCCTGTAAAGCCAATTTTATTTTTTTCCAACTTCCTATAAAGCCATTCTATTTTACTATTTGCGGGGCACACTGATTATAAGTGTTTTCGTATCATTTCAAGGCTTGTGGCACCATGAATTATATATCTATACAAACTTTATTGAAATAAATTGAATAGGGATACATAATAGAAAAAAAATGGGATATAAATAATCAGTTCCTTCCTTTTTGGACTCCCAACGCCTTTTGGATGAAGTAGCGGCTCGTGAAGATTATTTTCTTTTAATTAAAATAAACTTCTAGCCTCGAAGGACAATGATTTGCCACATACATCCTATAAATTTTAAACATATAAGCATGAACGCTCATTTAGGTCGGGGGTCATTTTAGACTAAATGCGGTCTTTCTATTGAACCCAATACATCTTGGGTATTAGGTCATTTTAGATCGATGCCCCAAATCATGATTTTGACTTTGCTCTACGCTTATTGACTAAGAGTGAGTTTTATTGAAAATAAACTGGTCACCCAAGTTGGACAAACTGTGGAATGAAGATAATAAACGGTATTGGACGATCATGAACCAACTACCCTTTTACTACTCCAAAAAGTAGGATATTGTTCTGAAGAAATGAATGCGAATAGTCATATAATCGCTCTTTTCCTTATGCATTTAATTTGCCATGTGACGGAGTTGTATGCCATGAATTGCGACAATATATAATTTGCGGAATTTAAATATATATATATATATATAGATCCAACACAAAGAAACCTTTTTAGGAAATTTGATTAAGTTAATTAAACCAAAGTTAAAAACTAAAGCTAATATAAAATACAATCAGGTAGCTAAATAAGCAAAGAGAAAAAGAAATTGTCTAGTTTCTGTCCGCCTGGACCAACAGTTGGGCCCTTTTGTTGCTGAGTTTTGGGGCTTTTGCCCCATCTTGTTGTATATCAGGTATACTGATTATATATACATGGTGTATATCATATGTATATCAGATGTATAACGCATCTTCCACCTATATATTTGCTTCCCTTTCATCATTATCTGCTTCAATTTCAACTTCACGTCAAACCTATGTGCCAAAGCAAGCTCAAAGAGAAACGGGGTTCGATGGACTCACTCGAGCACTTCACACATACAAGGAACAAAAACTTAAATTAATATCAAACATCAAAGATTCATGGTAAACAAACATATTAATTCTCAATATCCCAATTGTTACTCTCTATTTTTATAAGAAAAAACTAAATCCATCATGTTGTATAGTTTGGAATGTTGTTACATGTTGTATTGTATTATAGTGTTAGTTTAAATACAATGTTTGTTTTGATTTTAGTTAAATTCTATTGTATCGTATAGTTTAAATTCATCATTAGGTAACGACGGAAAGACCCATTTTATATAACGGTCGATTTGGTGTGATCGCGTCGTTACCTTAATAGTTTATTCTCATTTTATCTTTATTTATTATCTAATAATCATTTTTCATCTTTTATCCCACCTTTTCATAGTAGCTCTATCCCGTACCCTACTTTTCGTGTAGGTTTATCATTTAAATTATGGATGTGTAACATTATATAACGACGGGGAACGATATAATCTATCCAAATATTGTATTCATTAAAACAATATGATACGATACAATACAACACAATTCAATCCAATACACTACAATATAATATATTATGAAACAATACGTAACAACCACCCAAACAAAAGTGTAAATAATAGGGATTCAATAAAAGATCTTGTAATTATCACTTCATGCATGAATAGGTATGATGATGCAATGAGATTTAACAAATTAATATGATTTGACTTACTAGAACCTCACTATTCATTCTAGGAATAAATCATCAATGCAAATAGAACAAGACAATGAGTTGCTATACTTTCACAGCCACTGTACAAGACGAAACAAGCAATTATTCCTCACAAAATATTTTGCAATGTAAATTAGATAATTATATATTTCTGTAATTATCCTATTAGTATTAGCAAAGACTTAACTAAATTATTAGTCTTGTATGTATATATTTTTTCTTTCTTTGTACCTTTTTTCTTTAACGTCTACACTTTATTTCGTTTAAAGGCCCAACGGACCTTCAAATTTTTTATTGTAGTATACACATCTTTAATTGATTTGAAAGACAGAATGTTTTAGTAATGTTGAATATAAGCCCAAAGTCGAAAACTTTTTCTACTTCAAGCCTTCATATAACCACAGGAAAATTACTAATATACGTATGTATTATAAATCTAAAACTAATATTAACATAAGTTAGTTATTTTCTTATATAGTACTTATGACATTTTCAAAGGGAAAATTGTATAAAATAGCAAACTATTAATTCAAATTAAATGTTATAGCCATAGTTTATTTTAATTGTAATTCGTAGCAAACATCCCCTTTTTTTGCCATCTGATTCGGTATACGATTAGCCATTTTATACATTTCGGTATAAAATGTATAAAATGCGTTTGCGTTTGTATAAAGCGAGAGAAAAGTGTATATACAAATACAAATACATATATTTTCGTCCTATACACTTA